AGGTATTTCTTTATCTTCCTCCCTGTCAAGAACTATGAAATCTGCAGGGGGAGATAAACTTGTCAACTTTAACGAGCACATCCTCAATTACTCCTCTAGGGTGCTTGATAGAGTGATCTGCCAATTGTAGTGTCACTGTGGTAGGTCTTACTTCACCTAAACCCAACTTTTGAAAGATAGATAAAGGCATTAAGTTGGTGCTTGCACCTAAGTCACATAATGCCTTCTCGAACACAGCATTCCCAACTGAACAAGGGATGGTGAAACTCCCTAGATCTTTAAGCTTCTGGGGCAACTTCCTTTGTAAAATGGCACTGCACTCTTCAGTAAGTGCAACTGTTTCATAGTCCTCAAGTTTCCTCTTGTTTGACAAGATGTCTTTCATAAACTTCACATAACTCGGCATTTGTTCTAGAGCTTCAGCGAATGGAATATTGATGTGAAGTTTCTTGAATACATTGATGAATTTAACAAACTGTTGATCTAGTTTGCTTTTCTTCAGGCGTTGAGGAAAAGGAACTTTGAGAGATGGTTCTTGAGGAGGTTGTTCTTGATTTTCTACCTTAACTTCAATATCCTTTTTTGTAGCCTCTTGTGTTTGAGACGACACCCTTTTTTCATCTTTGTCAAGCTTTTCAATTCTCACCGGAGCTTCTAATTCTTTACCACTTCTCAAGGTAACTGCTTTGCAATACTCTTTTCCATCTCTTTTTGGATTCACTTCAGAAGTGCTAGGCAAATTTCCCTGTTGCCTCTCAGAAAACATGTTAGCCATTTGACTGATTTGTACCTCTAAACTTCTGATCTGAGCCGATTGATTCTGAAAATTTGTCCTGGTTTCATTCATGAATTGCATGTGAAAAGTAGCCAATTGAGCCATTGCCTCTTCCAGATTCACCTTCTTCTCTTGTGGCGGGTTGCTCTGTTCGGGCTGTAACACATTTTGATTGTTTCTCCAAGACAAGTTTAGGTGATTACGCCATCCTTGATTAAACCTGTTAGTGTTGGGAATGGTGTCCTAGAAGCATGAGATGTAATAGGATATTTATTATTTATTTAATAAAAGAGTTTACTCATTATTTTATGTGCATATATTTATGAATATTTTATGAATATCAATAAAAATTTCATAATTATTTATGTAACCTTAAACATTGTATATAAGTGTTATATACGAGAGGATAATGTTTAAGGA